TTTAGCAAGTTTCCAATCGACCACGATTATAGTTTTTTTTAAGACACCCTACTTTAAAGATAGTATCATTTCTGATCTTTCTCTAGTATTTGTTTGTATGAATGATAAAGGGTAATTCATAAGATATGAATGGAAGAATGGCATAAAAGGTCCATGTAGAATCACAAATCAAAACAGAAATATGCGAAAAGATAAAGTTTAAAGTGATAAAATATAGTTTACAAATTTCGCTAAATTATTTTGTAGCTAAATGTTTACAAAGGAATTGAGTTTCTGACACAAACTGAAAATTTGTAATAAATTTTTTAAACTAAATGGTCTAAACCTTTGATATTTAAAATTTAGAATATTTGATTTTACAGAATTCAAAGTTTGAAATATTAAAGGTCTATAAGATTAAAAAATCAGTGTTTGTGGCAAAAAATCAGTTCCATTACCAAGGCATTACTAAGTAGTGTAATTTAGTAATTTGGTGAAGTAATTTATTCTTAGTCAGGATAATCTAATATTATGAACATCTAGGGACATAGATTCATGTATTTTCTAAAAACATTTGTACACTTGCTTGGGAACCCAGCTTTGTCTGGAGATCTGTACCAGTCTTTAACTCTGCAGCTAAGCATATTCATACGGGGTTCTAATATATTCCTCAATAAAAGTTTGAGGCAAATCGGTCAAGAGGTTTACAGATAGCCACATATAGATGACTACTTAATATAGTTATTTATATATATATTACTTTAAATATTTTTACATTACTTTATATAAAAAAGTTAAATGAACGTTTTTTTTAATAAAACACTTATTCTATATCAATAAAAATGGGCCTTGAAAATTAGATTTAAATATTATGAAATGTTAATAAGTCTTGCTGAAATTTTAGTTCTGTTTATGTTTACTCTCTTTGTTTGAATCTAGCAAAATACAAAATTAATTTCCTTTTCTTCAGTGAACCAACGTTGCTTTATTCTTTGTGGATTGGCGCCATTAATATATTTATTACAAGAAAAACAAAAACAAAAACAAAAACAAATCTTATCTTTAACACTTACACAATTTTTTATTTAAAGAAAACACTGCCAAAAACAAGACTATCGCTATAATCAGAGATTGGCAGGTCTGATTATTAGACACCATAAAACCTTTATCTGATTAATATATTGTAAATAATACAATGATTGGTTTAGCTTGAAAACCATTAAACCTTTATCTGATTAATATATTGTAAAGAATACAATAATTGGTTTAGCTTGAAAACCATTAAACCTTTATCTGATTAATATATTGTAAATAATACAATAATTGGTTTAGCTTGAAAACCATTAAACCTTTATACGATCAATATATTGTAAATAATACAATAATTGGTCTAGCTTGAAAACTATTAAACCTTGATCAATATATTGTAAATAATATAATGATTGGTTTAGCTTGAAAACCATTAAACCTTTATATGATCAATATATTGTAAATAATACAATGATTGGTCTAGCTTGAAAACCATTAAACCTTTATATGATCAATATATTGTAAATAATACAATGATTTGTCTAGCTTGAAAACCATTTAACCTTTATATGATCAATATATTGTAAATAATACAATGATTGGTTTAGCTTGAAAACCATTAAACCTTTATATGATCAATATATTGTAAATAATACAATAATTGGTTTAGCTTGAGAAGTTTTAATCAAATATAAGCTTGATGGTTACCATTGTGAATCTGACATACCACTCTAAAAACCCTAATTAACCATTTTAGTTCAATATTTTTCTAAATTTAAAGTTTTAAAAATCTTTTTAAAATTAGATTAAAAGAAACGTAAGACTCTTTCTTGTGTATATGTAGAATTAAGCAAAGAATAGACTTACAAATAAATGATTTGATTAATTTTCATTAAAACCCAATTTTCTGTTTTTTCTTTCAGTGACACAAGATTAAGTTTTCATGATCATATAAAAATACGATTTTTTTTAACTTGCTGATGATGGCAACCCATGCTACACTGGTGTCACGTCATCATATAAACCGTTAATCATTCTTTTTTATTAATTAAAGTATCATCTTTTTTGATAATATTAAATTCAATTCCAAGTAAAACTGCAACTAAAGGTGTCTACTGTCTAGTGCTTGTATTCCCTAAAACCCTAATGTAAACCTAGCCTGTTTATTCAGTCTACATTTAATTTATATACATAAATATACATTCATACAATATACAATACGTACAGGGGGGACAGTAAAATAAACATCCTCTGGTGGAAAATTGAAAGATTAAGGCAACCATAAAGTAAACAAGGAAAGAAGAAAAGTGTAAGAAGTGACAAAAATTGCTGAAGTTGAGTTTAATATTTTATGAAAATAATTTTGTAATTGAATGAAAGTACAAATATAATCTTCATTTTAATTGGATGTTTTATCTCGCCTTTTTCTAATATTTGTTTGAGTAAATTATAAAAACAGACTTGACGTTGATGAATTTTGTAATTTTACTATTATTGTTGAAACTTACCGTAGAATTGCAGTGTATAGAAGCGACCCCAGAAGAAATAAAGAGACTGACTCCGATTAAAGGATAGATGCAGATTAAACTTGAGATAAAAACCATCTTTAAAAAAGTTTTCAACGGTTCTATTTAATTAATTTGAGTGGAGAAAGCATTGAACTATCTTGTCTATAAATATCATTTTTTATCTGAAATTTTGGTAAAGTAAGTAATTTATCTTAAGTGAGCATTTTTAACCAAAAACAGACGGGGAGAGTTTTTTTTTACTTTTAATAAATAGTAATTTAAAGGTTGTTTTACAAATATTTTATGCATAGGGTAAAAAATGTGTAACAATTAAGATAATAGACCTCGTATGGTCTTTGTAAGATAACTAATTCATAATTTGTATAAATAAAAAAGTTCTTTATAATATGAGTCACGGAAATTAGTTGTAAGATTTAGCCATTTTCTTTAATAACTCCCTGATGGCGCGCATGAGAGAGGGGGGGTTAGCAACTAAGGGAATGTATTCTCTATATAAGAAAGCTCTTCGCTCATATATATGTCAGCTATAGCCAGCCAAACGGCTAGACCGAATTGGCTGATTTTTTTGAGGGAAACTATATTGGTTTTTGAGGGGTAACATAGGCTAAAAAAGTTTTTAACTTTTCTTTTTTTTTAAATCGATTTTTTTTATTTTTCAAAATTCAATTTTTTTAATTCCACAGGCAACTCCGGGAACTCTTGCCTGTATTTTATTTAAGGTCTTATGAAATTTTTCCCTTTCGTGATTTTAGGAAAGGTTAGGGAAATCTATACTATAGTATATATAACTATAAGCAAGTTTAAACTGGTAAAGTCATTATATTTTCATATATGTCAAAATTATAACATTTCTAAATATAAGGTTTAAATTTAGATTTAAATCAAAATTCTAACGGAACTTGAAAATGAAACAAATCGAAAGCAAACAGTATTTTTTTTTTGACTAATTCATTACTTAGTAATTTACAGAATCACTTAATGAAGTTATAACAACTTGTAATTTTCGCAGTATTGAACTTTTTCGACTATTGCGCTAACTACATATTGTTCACTTTTTTCAACAAGCTCTCATGATTTTCATTTTCTAAACTAAAACTGTTTCGAGGATTTGTGTGTGTTGTTGAGTACGGGCAGAGTAGCGGAGATCTGAGAGGTTGTAATAACGGCCTCTAGGAGGTACTTTACCGAGGATTCCCGCCAATTTTGTCCTCATGGATTTCCGATTTTACTCGGACCAACATGTACTTACTTCTATTCATGTCCAATATAAGGTAAACAAGTTGATTAGTTCAAAAGGTTCATGATAAATTTGTGTACTGAACAAGATTTTATATCATAAAATACTATCCTATGAGTCCTTTAAATAGTTCTAATAATATATATTTTGTGTTTATTAGAAGTCAATAAACATATCATTAATTTTCAACTTTATTTATGAAACCAGATTTTTAATTTAGATTACTGTAATTATGCTGCAGTGGTATGGTTATCGACACTATTTGTATAATCTGATGCCATATTTGATGCCTATTCTTTAATTACTTATTTTTAGGATGATCCTTGCAAATTAATGTTTATGGTAGAGTAATTTTCGTTCAATCTCTTTCGCGAAAGTTTCGTTCAGCCAACGAAAATGTGAACGAAAATAAAAATTTTCGTTCATTTCCGCGAAAATTTTTGTTAAAATTTTTTCGCAAAATTCGTTCGAAATTTTCGCGATATTCGCGAAATTCGTTAGAAATTTTCGCAAACTTTGTTTCGAAAATTTCGTTCAACGAAAATTTTGATGGAAACCCTAGTTTATGGTAGTTTATACTAACGAAATCTTAATCAAGTATCAGGAATCCAATCCAATTGAAACTCTTGTATTGTTGATATCGAGATCAATGCTTTATCTGCTCTTTTTGTTAATCTGCAGATTAGTTTAATCTTTATTTGATATCCAGGAAGTTTTTGAACAAACAACATTTTTAAGAAAGAACGAAATTTTTCGTGAAATGAACGAACAAAATGGATCATTCAAAGAAATGAAAAAATTATTGTTTTTTAAAAACAAATGATTCAAAATCATTCGAACGAATTTGAAAATAAGATAGTTATTTTACGGTAAAAATGATTTTTTCCAAAAGATTTGGAAAAAACTTTCGCTTTTTTTCTGAACGAATGATTTTTTACAAACTTAAAACATCTTTTGCACTCATCTAAAATGTGGTTTGAAACACCCTAAACACGGATATATAATAAAATGGATGGATCATAGACGAGTTTCGATGTAATTTTCTGGGTGGGGTGTTATGCAGTACATTGGAGTTCTAGCAGACTCCCAGTTTTTGTTACACTCTAACTTAGTCATTCATCAATTATTGGAAATTCAAAATCAATTTTCCCAATCTGACAAGTGTAAAAAAGATTAAAATGTCATCTATGTTCTAATTATTTTTTCCCTTACAATATATATTCAACAAAAGTCCAAATTTTTTATTTAAAAAAATATTGTTTATATAATATTGATAACAATAATGAGGGATTCTTCCTTCTTACTGTTTTTTGAACAATATCAACTTGGACAGCTGAACTCGGACCTTGGTTCTCTGAGATTTTACATTCTCCAGGGCATCCTCCAATGATTTTACTTTCTGCTTTAACCTGGTGTTCCTAACTCGAAGTTTGTTGTTAAGCTGTTGTAAATCGTTGTTTGCAGCAGAGAGTCTATTAAGTGTGGTCTCCTGGGTTGCATAGGAATGATCTGAAAAAAATATTCTTTTTAAATCTAGAAAAAGGTTTATAACTTTATCTTGATAATGAAATCTTCAAAAATCTCCCCCCTAGACCTGTGAACTCAGAGCTATCACACTTTTCAATTCTTAAACTGAAGAGTGAAGACTGAAAAACAGGACAAAAATAGTTTGTTGTTTATAAAAAAAATTAATATTATTGCAGTGCTGTAACCTAATTTTCCCTTTTAATTTCATTTTTAGTTTGAAGAAGAGAAAAAGTAGTTATTAAATAAGCAATTACAAGGTGATTGGACTGTATATGTACCTTTACTTGTGCGACTTTTGCCTGATATCCAAGAAGCTAAATGTTCTGAATTTACAGTTCAAACTTTACCCCCACCCCTCCTAGGAGCTCCAAGGGGGGGGGGGGCAAAGTAAAAGAATTTCTTAAAAGAAAATTACAATATAAAAGAATGGATACAAATTTTCAATAACAGACAATATCGTAAAATGAATACCATAACCCCTAAAAAAGGTATGCCTGATCGTCTAGAAGCCAAATATTTTGAATTTACAGTTCAAATTTAGCCCCCCTCCCATAGGAGCTTCTAGGGGGGGGGCAAAAAAATGTATGCGCTTCACGCAATTTTTGCCCCCCCCCCCCTACATTTCATTCTGTATATGCCCTTGAAAACCCCATATATTTTACAGTTTGTCGCACTTTTGGACCTGTAAATTTCCGTTTTTACTATAACCCCTCTCCCTTTGCACAATCACACAAATTTACAAATTTGTTCAAATATTTAAGAAAAACCCATTTATTTTACCGTTTGTCCAAGATTTTCACCTCTAAATTTTCGTTTACCTATATGTACACTGTTTAACAGTCACACAAATCTTTTTAATTTTTAAAGAAGTTTAAAAATGAATATAACATTTTTCGTCAAAATCAAAAAAAGTTCACATTTATCGAACTTTTTAAAACAAAAATTGAATCACATATTACCTTTAACTGCTAATGACTGTGGGTTAGAGGATGACATGTCTCCAGGTCGTAGTCTTTTAGAAGCCCTATTAAGGTCATCAGGAGAAAAATGGTCTGAGCATATCACACTCCATTTTTTCGGATTCCAGGAGGAAGGTTGGCTTGTAAATTTCGCCCATGCTACTCTTAGGTCTTTTTTCGGGAACGAAAAAAAGATTTTATCTTGACAAGTACTGTTATTTTCACAAGATATTACACTGCAGTACCTCATGTTCATACATCACAGGGCCCACTGTTTATCAACACAGCTGTACAACTTTCCTACTCTATGGATCCTGAACTTTCCTTCAGATATTAATTCTTTGTAAACAAAAAAAATCTTTTTTGAATAAAAAGAAAATAAAAAATTGTATAAAAGAAACATTAAAAAAAACATAAATATGCACCTAAAATAAACCTAACCTAAATCTAGGGTCCGGTTTGCTACATCAGCTGGTAGGCCCATGGAAAAAATTACCAAAATAAAATTTGTACTGTGGCCGAGTTCAGTGTAGATAGATAGATAGAATCATATCTATAAGCGGGCCGTGACCCTAAAAATATCTGCCTTTATAAAAATATTTTGTTTTTTGTGATGCTACAATTTCTATCGAATCCCGCTAATCTAAAAACATATTTATGCAGGTTCATAATCAGCACTGTACGAAGAAATGTCATTTACTCTCAGAAAAATTAAAATTAAAAAAATATTTTTAAATTTGATATTAAACTAACTTTTTGTAATCACCTAACAATGTTAGAAGCCAATTATTTTATTAATTTACATTTAATTTTTCTAATTGTTTCACTTGACTATTAATATATATCCTGTATCACACTAATTCTGGATTAATCTCCTGAACACTGATCGAAAAAATAGTGGGTTTTAGTGGAGTGTGTTATCAGAAAAATAAAAGGTATGAAATTACCATTTATTTTAGTGTCAGGTAACTTTTTTTTTTGAAAATTCACAACTCTAATACCAAAAAATGCGCACATTCAGTTAGTTCATCTGAGCCGTATTCCAATATATGGTGTTTTCTAAAGAAACCAAGATCACTGAATTTGCGCATTGTTTTGTATTAGAATTGTATACAACAAAACGTAGATCTTTTGATTACTCAAATTTGTTTACAGATTGGAAAATGTCCAAGCAATATTAAAGTTACAGCAATTTGTAAATTGGCAAGTTTAAAAGGACACCCTGTACACTGTAAAACCTATAGCAACGGTCATTATGCAATGTACAACCTTAGCAATGGTGATTATATAATGTACAACCTATACAAATGATGATTATGCAATGAACAACCTATAGCAATGGTGATTATGCAATGTACAACCTATAGCAATGGTGATTATGCAATGAACAATCATACCAATGACTGTTTTGCAATGTACAGCCTATATCAATTGTGATTATGCAATGTTCAACCGAAGCAATAGCTATTTTGCAATGTACAACCAATAGCAATGGTGATTATGCATTGCAATGTACAAGGTATAGCAACATATACAATCTATAGGGTAATTTGCTATCCTTGATCGTAATTAATCTTTCTGGGTTATAGGTTTGAGTAACTTATACTCAATTCATGTACATTTAAATCTGAGCTGAACCAACCTTTACGCTCCTAGTTTGTACTGCTCCGCCTGGTATATCAACTACACTGGCAGACAACAGCAGGGGTCAATATTTTTGGCCCAGTTGCGGAGGCAGGGCTGGTTAGTGCGACTACAACCTACAAGGTCTTACTTTAGGCTGCATCTGGTTAAATTTACAATTATTTTAGTCACGCACCCCTGATCCTTTAGTAAAAGTAAATTCAACCTAAAGTCTGACTGCACCGGCTAGTCCTATTGAGTGTCTGCTTTATTTACCCAATGTCAGGGCGATACAGTACAAACTGGGACCGGAAAGGGTTGACCCGGCACGGAAATTCAAATATACTACGGCTTACCGGCCGTGTAGTGAAAATTTTGCGTGAACTTTTTGTTGATTCCTTGATCGCTGTAATTCATATTTGTTTTAGATGAATACAATCATTGTTCTGTTACTTTTCCAAAGTGTTGGCATTATTAGTCCAAAACATTACCTTGTAGAAATACAGCAGGTAATATAATACACACATAATTTTCTATTTATCTTACATTCTCTTAATCCTATTCCTTCCCCAGCATATCCTGGTTTTAAGTACCCCAGCAGGGATAGGGTTAATATTCAAGTACCAAATTTATTAAATTTGAGCTACATCGTTGAACTGCCAACTGCCAATTTAAATTTGAACCACTGATTCAAACTTAAAGATTAAGGAAGGATTTGAATCGAGAATTCAAATTTTAATTTGAAGCATTTTTTTCATTAAATTCTGTCCCAGGACTAGTTGCAATTAGAAACTGAGCAGAGCTGAAAACTCTAAAATTGGATACTCTTAATTTTGATCGCTAAATCTGAATATCCGGCCACTATGGAAACTTTACATTTTCTTGTAAATCCTCTGTTTTGGATATCTCTCCTGGGTTCAAATTTCAAATTTTAAATTTCCCGGCTACTAATTAGTAATTGGCTGTTCAGTATTCTGCTATCTGCGTATGTGCCACTCCGAATCAGAGACGTATTCGGGGGGCTATGGGGGCTCATTCTCACCCTCTGGAAAAGTGAAGGCTATGATTTTCGGGGGGTTTCAGTTACCAAAGGGGGCTGAGCCCCCCCCCCCCTCCTGTTAAGAAGCGGTTAATTAGCACAGCTCGCCCCACTCCCCCTCCCTTCCCAGCCGACCCCCTCTAGTTTTTTTTATTGCTTAATGTTTATGGATCTTATTAATATGTATGTTTTATGACATTGTTTAATCTTAAATTTCACGCGGCTTATTTTTTTCATTATCAGAATTTTGACACAGTGATATATGTAAATTTGTAATTTGATATTTTTTAAAGCATCAAAATGTCAAAATTCTTTCAGATAATTCATTCTGCTACTTAATTTTCAGAATACAGTCCCTGTTTTAGGTTAGTTTTAGCAATCCAGGGGGGGGGGCTCCAATTGTTCCGGGTGGGGAGGCTAACCCCAAAAAATGATTGCCCTCCGGCCACATTTTTAAGCCCCCCCCTGGACTAAGTCCTAAATATGCCTCTGCTCCGAATGGTTGAATTTTAGACACTTTTCCTTGATTAAAGATAATAATCTTAAGATTAACAATAAGAAGAGATTAAGCATTGATCCCAATATCCACAATTCTAACATTTTAGCTCAGGTAACGTAATAAACATGCAACGCACATAATTTACTACTTTTCTTCAAAATTGTCTTAATATTCAGGATGAGTTGCCATTAGAACCTGAGCAGGTAATAAATCTATATATATGTATACTATATGTCAAAACGGCTGAACCGATTGTTCCCAAATTTTGTGTGGGACCTAACATGACATGGATTTTTGAAATTTCAACAAAATTCGATTTTCATTAAATTTCAAAAAATTCACAATATTTTTTTCTATACAATCTCTGAATTTTTTGTTTTGTTATTGTTTTACTATATATGTATGTATACAAAGATTGAGAAAATATATGCATATGCATATATTTCAATATTTGTTATTTTTATTCTAATTATCTTAAATGATATCTATTTTGCACTGCTGTGATATTAAGAAAGATGTGCAAATGGGGAGTGATTATCAGGGAGGACTAGATATAGGAGCACTACTTGGAGGACTCGGAGGAGGTGGAGGCGGGGGTGGTGGAGGTGCAGGTGGACTAGGTGGAATACTTAGTGGACTACTAGGTGGACTTGGAGGAGGAGGAGGAGGTGGTGGAGGTGCAGGAGGGGGTGCAGGGGGAGGTGGGGGTGGGCTAGGTAGCCTATTAGGATTACTAGGACGATGAGATGAACCAGCTTCATATGAGTGAGACATGAATCTTCTATAGAAATTAACATTTACTTATTGGAATAAAAAATTACAGATCTTGTTAAGATTTAATTATCAACTGGCTCTAGTTAATAGTTCTACTTTTTCTTTATGTTTATTCAATGAAAATAATAATTTAATAAAAGCAAAAAACTAAATAAAATTGAAAACTGATTCCTTCCAGGATATCCTGCATTACGGTGTCATCTATTCAAAATATATGCAGGATGAGGGGTAGGTGTATGCAGACTCAAAATGAAACTATTGTTCTAGTCTTCAGAATACATTACTAGGTTTAGTTAAATATTTTTAACTTTATCAATTTATTTATTTATAATTTTTTTATGAAACAAATTAATTGATACATGTTTTTAATGCAGAATGCAGATACTTATTTTTCCAATCTTCATGTTTCCTGGCTGTCCTGTTTTGCTCATTCAATTAGCTGCACACCCCTGCCCCCCCAGGAGGGTTAATATGCAGTTTCGAGAGCTGATCAGGCAATTTGTAGTATTTCAATATCAGCTCTTGAGTTTCTATATTCATTCCAGTTGTTTTTGATATCGGCCATCTATGCAGGTTTATTGCTGACATTGTTGTATAATGAGAACTTCCCTTTGTCAGCTGCATTGCATGTATCAGTGTCTTGCAGTAATTTGGTAAGAAATTAAAAGACCTCAAAGCCTTAACTGCATTCGGCTAGGTTCAAGGTGATTTGGGTGTACCCCCTAGGAAAGGAACACTCATGATACCAATGATGATCTCTCTCAGAAAGTTTTGATTAAGATTCCACAGCAAAGCAGTTTCTGAGTTCCACTATATCTGCTCGTGAAGTAGGATAAGGTTGGAATTTAGGAGGTAGGCGGATGAGGATGGGTGTGTAAGGGTAACAGGTATGAGATATACCATAGTCCTCACTTTTAACGTGTATTCCCACGTGGACAGATTTTTTAAAGAAAAAATAACCCGCTAAGCATGCTGTCCCATCGCTTTAAAACACGGGGAGTGTGTCTTTTGCCTATCATTGTCAGAGGTCTGCCTTTCCACTTTGAGAAGGGTGAAAAACCAGTTTATGGTATTTGATTAAAGTCTATTGAAGGCTCTGTTCCCCCTTAAGACCTGTATCAGTGTGTACTTCATCCCTGATGTTTTGAGTTTCTGTTTTCCTTCTGTATTCATCTTTATTACTATATCTTGTTCAGGATTAGTCATGCTTTCCAGTCAGTTGTGGAGAGAAGTGTCCTTGATATCTAGACTTCTATACAAGTACAACGCACTAGCGCCCTTTCTCTCAACAGGCTTAGAAAGCTCTGCTGACACCCTTCCTCTGGGAGGTTCGGATACACACTGGTTTAGTTTAGTTAAATATGCTCTTCCCCTTTTTTCCTAATTTTGATAAGACCAAATAACCAAGATGAGCAGTTTCTTTGCATGACGGAACGCAGCATCAAGGAGTGGAGACCAGATGAGGGATTTGAGTGCATCTGTGAAAGGAGCCAGAGTTCTAGCAGCGTCACAGAGAAACTTTCTGTAGAAATTAATCATCCCTAAAAACCTCTGAAGAGCAGGTTTGTCGGAGGGAGGTGGAAACTCTGAGATAGCTCTGGTATGCTTCTGTAGTGGTGAGCTACCAGAGGCAGAGAGCATGTGACCCAGGAATTCTATCTTGTTCACCGCAAACTCACACTTAGGTAAACTGATGGTGAGCCCGTGCTCACGACAGAGGAGGAAAACCTAATGGAGGTGGTCAAGATGAGAGTCAAGGTTCTTACTAACACCAGGATGTTGTCCACATAGGTGAAGCAGAAAGGTAAATCTCCGAGGATGGAATCCATCAGTCTCTAAAAGGTATACCGGCGTTCCTGAGGCCAAAGTAACCTAAGAAACTCAAACATGCTGAACGGAGTAAAGATGGCAGTCTTGCAAATATCTTGCAGAGCCATAGGAACCTGGTAATAATCTAGCTTTCTGTAGATCTAGCTTGGAGAAAACCCTGAACTCTTGAGGTAAAATCACCAATATTTAGTACAGGATACCGATCCAGGACAGTAATGGTGTTCAGCCTCCAATAGTCTCCGAAAAACCTACAGCCTCCATCTTTCTTCTTCATGTGTATGGAGAGGACCAGGGAGAATTTGACATTCGTACAATTCCTGCTTCCTCCGTGGCAGCAAACTCAGTCTTTGAGTCGACGAGGTTTAGCAAACACTGGAGGACCAGGCTGTGTAAAAAGTTGATGACTAACTCCATGAGGAGGTTTAGAAGCTGTAAATCCATCTGATGACACAACGTCTGGAAACTCTGAGAGGAGGTTGGAGATACATTTTGAATGGGCCAGAAGGTTTGTGCCGGGGTTGGCTGGAGAAGGGCTCAGAGAAGTTGGATGGTTAATGGACGGAGCAGTTGGAGAATCAGAACTAGAAACCCTCTGGTTAGCCACGTCAAGGAGGAGATATGAGTGGAGAAGGAATAGGGGAACCGACAGGAAGGAAATGCACATCCTCCTGTTGGTCTAATAGTTTCCCAACCAGTAACAGAGAGCTCTGCATTTCTTGACCTGAGAACCCCAAGAACGATGATATTAACAGAGGGCTGGTGATTGAGAACGGTTGTTTTTCCAGTTACTGGCATGTGGAGTTTCTGAACTGTGAGTTGGTTTGAAACTGTTCATCAGAGGTGTTGGAGACAGCAAAATCCGAAGACAAGGACACTCTGCTCTGGTAGATCTTGTCGGCCTTGAGAGCAAGGTAGATGGAGTAGCTGAAGTGATCCCTGAGAAGGTGAGCTCTAATGTTGGCTGGTAAATGTTAGAGAAAGGCTCCCATGAGAAAGAAACAGGGTTTGTGATCATCTGGATTAGCTTGGAAGGTTTCATGTCTCCTGAGAGAGGCAGACTGGAAATAGCTTCATACCTTTGGTGATCATCAAGTGCAAAAAGTTTTAGCAAACGCCTCTTCAGCTCCTGGTATGGTTCATGAGCCAGAGGAGATTTGATGAGATCATGAACTTGATTTGCAGTTTCTTGTCTGAAGGAAGAGATGCAGTAATAAAACTTTGTGGAACTAACATTTACCCCCTTCAAAGCAAACTGAGCTTCTGTTTGCACAAACCATGCTTTCCATTCTTTGGCTGAATCTGGCCAAAAGGCAGGAACTTTGACAACAACCGTGTTAATTAGGTCCAAGGTACAGAACTCAGCCTGAATCGGGACACTCTCACTATCCTCAGGCATTATCACTAGCGCATGTGATTAGAAAAATCTCTATTGCGGAAAATCCGTCGTAGTTGCTCTAAAGTCTATTGTAGTCCCATTTTAAGGACTATAGTATAATTTATCCATGTCTCTATTGACCATTAAGTCATTAAAGAGATTGTTAAGATAAAATGAAATAGGGTATAGGCTGCATGACACCAGAAAATGTTAGAGGTTGATTGCGACCAACATTAGTTTCATCTTGTCCCTGTCTTGAGTAATTGAGAAATAAAAAAAAACTGTGTCAAAGTTATACAAAAGTTGTAGATTTGTCTCACTTAAAACGTTCAACCTTGCAGGATTGAGTCAAAATTCAAAATTGAGGTTGAAATTCTCAGAAATTGAACTTGAAACTTAAATGTACAATTTATATTTATTGGGCTCACACTCACAGCTCCCCCAGTTAATACTATTAAATGTAGATCAAATGTCACGTAAACATAAACTGTTGATATTGTATTTGTTCTCATAACATTTATTCATGTGTTTTCAACTATTTAAATGCCAAGAAGGAATATTGAAACATTATTTCTTCTAATATTTGTCCCTCACAAAACTTACTGAGATCCAGACAACTTTGAAAGTTTTGCAAAAATGTCCAACCCTGATCAGCTTTGAAGAGTCCCAACACCTTACCCATTGATTTTACCTCACCAACTCCCTAATACTTCTTTGAAGCCCTAGAAATGTACATTTTAGAATTGTATTCGATTGCTGATGACTTCAGTTAAAGAGTAGTGATTATCAAATTCATGATAATATTTTTCAAGAGAGCATGTATAATTTGGTTCACAGTGCATGGTTTTGACTTATCTTTCAGACAAAGCAGTTTCAGACCTATATGCTAAATATCAAAAATGTAGCAGCAGAGTGAAAACATTATCAAAAAAGAAATTTAAAGAAATCTCCAGAAAAATATTAGGAAAACTATAAAACCAACCATTAAATTAACATTAAAACTTGCAAGCATATTTTTATATTTTGAAATACAACTGTTTGAATATTTTTTTCTTCTATTTTCAATCATATTCATTTTACTTCAAAAGCATTATTTCATAATAGACAACGTAACTTCAAAAAAAGAGTTTTATTTAAAATTCTGTCAGTGTAACAGAACTGTCAGTTTATAAATGCCAAAGAGATAAATTTTCTGTGAGTAAAAAGATCTGAACAAGATTGAAAATAGTTTGAAAGTTGAACAATTTATATCATGTTTCTAAACATTTCTGTAGCTGTGGGGAAAATTCAATATAAGCTTCCCATAGAGACCAAAAAAGAATATCCAGTGTTCTCAGGTTCTCTGCACTATTTGAGCTTACCAAGTCTCGAAACGTCGCATTTTATTTCATTTTTTGCGAGCATATTTTTTTAAGAGCGTTAGCTGTAAGCATAATTCTAAGGATTTACAACAGTACCCTTAAAACCTTTTAATTTTACATAGATCTTCGTGTGCACATTTCTCAAAAACCGCTTGACTATCTGTGTGTAATGTGAAATCATCTTTTATGTAGATAAAAGTGTTTTTAAAAGATTTGAAGAAAATTTTGATTTTTACCGCTTCTAGAGTTTAAACAGCAAACAAAGGGTTTAACAATTAAAAGCATTTCTGTAGATCAATGAAATCAAACCTACAGAGCAATGCTCATTATGTGCATAGTACTGGTACATAATGGACCTTAATGTACAGTTGTTGTACAGTGGACATAAAACGTCCGAGTCTACATAATTCCCTATTCTTCCAATGCATAAATCTTTCTAAGAAAAGAAACATATGTGAAAGTTCTCATAATAAATAATTCTCATTTCTCTACAGAGGCTTAATCGGTGGGGTGGGGGGGGGGGGTTTATGGGGGCTCTGCCTCCCCATGACCAGTGACATCTTTGGATTTCAGGTTTTTTTTTAGGCCCCAATCGTTGGTTTCCTGGTGCTCTGAATGTTTTTAATCTCGGATTTTTATGTTTAAATAGTTCCATTTTCAAAAAAAACTTGACATTTTTTCCGGGCTCAACTTTGACCTTCCCTGGGGTTATATGAGTTGCCACACACATTTAGTGGCAGAGTCGGTTTAGTTTATTGGATACAACAAATAAACATACAGACAAGCCAAGTTTATATATATATTTATTTATCCAGCTTGGATAGCATTTACATTTATAAATGAATTTGTTTCTCAACTTTTTTTTTGGTCTTGTCGGAAAACAATCACTGTAAAAATAGTGATCTACACTCTGCACTCTGCAGTGAGCAATGCAAGATACGAAAATAAATATTTGTGTAACCAAGTTATAATATAAAAAGCTTGAATTTTGTGCCTTTTTTTAGTAAAATAGAGCATTTTTAAAGGGAGTGTCCGGGTAAACATGGCAGTTGAGCTGATAGTGTGGTACAGATGTAGAGAAATTTTTTAGAAGTCATTTGAGACCTATATGACGTTTGTATGGTATATAATTGATAAGTAATAGCCTGCCCGCAATCCTGTCGCGCTGAGCAGGCATGTCACAACCTGTCTGGGGGAGCGCCAGGAAGATTTAAAGATCGATTTAGCACTCTTACTTAGCAATTATACACCGTATATAGGTCTCAAATAATTTCTATCAAATTTTTCTACAACACTGCACTCTCAGCTCAACTGCTTTAGCTAGCCAGACACTCCCTTTAAGTGGTTTTAATTTGATTGCAGTGCAGTATGTATTTAGGGAAAAAATAAGAACTCAATTTACATGGATGATAATGTTAAATTTAGCTGTGTTTAACAAATTTTGATTTTATATTGCCAGTTCACACAAAAGAATGCTTTTGAGTCCAATCGGTCCAGCCGTTTTTGTGTAGATTAAGATTCTTCAAGGTTTAAATAGCAACAACTTTTTCTTTCTAAGTTTTGAAAATTGTCTGTTAGCACTGAATATTTTTAAAGTTTCTATATTAGGTTTCATTAAGCAGTTTATAAAATCTTTTTGATTTAAAACAGTCCACCATGTTTTAATGTTTTTTCGTAGATTTCTTTTTAAAATGTTCAGGACAAGAAAAAGCTTTTTGTTCTTTATTTAAAGACTTTAAGTTAAAGTGTACATAGTACACATTACACACGAGTGGAACAAACTGAAGATTTTCTATTAGATAAAGGAATGTAAACTGCTTTTAAAGTGGTGAGTAAAAATATACAAGTATAGTAGTTTTGCGATCAATCCTTAAATATGATGTCTTAAAAATGAGAAACTTTTTTATTTAAATCTGAAAAAGCTTTCAGCATTATTTATTGAAAGAAGCTGGTGGCATTTAGTAGAGGTTGTTTGCAGTTGATATAAATAGTTAATGATAAATACTTCATTCTTTGTACACCAAGATTTTTTTTTTTTTTGGGGGGGGGAAACTTTTTTATCTTATTTTTAAGTTTTAGCTGTGAATTTGATAACTTGCAGGTATTTGAGCATTTTCTAGATATACATACACCCTAATGCATTATTAGATATATCTACATAGTATACAATTTCAATTGTAGATAACGGGTTTAAAATATTCTATCAATAATTGACATTTTAAAAATCTGAATACGAAAATTTAGATTCAGTAACTGTACCTAAAATTTTTTTTGTTAACATTCTATAATCACACTGGGGTCTAAAGGTTAGAAAAGTAAAGTGTTCTTCCATTTAGCTTAATTACATATCAAGTTTTTAATTTCTCTGTGCATTTTCACTGTTAATAGTCATAGTAACTAAATTTAGCAACCTTTTAATCACATTTATTTTTTAAAGTTTGATGCTTTTCGCGCTTCCGGTTCCTCAATGAAGTTTTGAATAATTACTGTTCACTTGTTAATTTCTGTTTCTCCATTGATTGATTGATTGATTGCTTAATTGGTTGATTGGTTTATTCGTTTATAGGTTGATTGATTGATTGATTGGCTGATTAGCTGGATGATTGGTTGGTTGGTTGACTAGCTGATATATTGGTTGAGTAATTGGTTGATTGATTGATAAATTGATCCATTGATTGATTGACTTATTGTTGATTAATTTGTTAATCACTTGATTAATTGATTGGTTGATTGATTAATTTACATGGTGAGGATTTGTGAGCTCTGGTAGTTAGCAAAGAACCAGTAATGAATGTTGAAGAAGAAGAAGAATGTTGGGAAGATGATTATACTGAATGCATCAAACACTCTCGGATGCTCCAGGACCCAGGCCATTCGAGCCTAAATAAGGCATATTAAAGGGACTGTAAACGTAACTTTCAGACATCTTCAATTTACAGAGGGACATCCCTGATTCACAACGGTACCCTTCAACTGGTCATCGATGGCAAAAAACTCAGTCAAAGGATTAAATGGAAGTTTACATAAAATAACGCTTAAAGAAGATTACATGAAATAATACTTAAAGAAGGTTACATGAAATAATGCTTAGCCAAGTTTACATGAAATAACGCTGAAAGAATTTTACATGAAATAATGCTTAAAGAAGTTTCCATGAAATAACGCTGAAAGAAGTTTACATGAAATACGTAGAAAGAAGTTTACATGAAAAAACGCTTAAAGTCTCTTTAACAGATATATATTTGAGCCAATAATGAGGCATAACAGTCATATTTTTAAGAGCCTTAAATAAAGCATACTAATAAACAAATATTCGCTTTTCAATGAACTTTAGATATTTTTCCACGCCTTAGCAAAATACTAATTTTACCATTTTTCGCAAATTTTAACGTTCTGTTGCGTTTAGCAACATTTTCGGAAGTATATCTTTTTTTTCAATTGCAACCGACGCGTTCATAGTTTCTCAAACAAAAAAGTTGTTCAATATATTTAAATAAATTTTCATTAATTTTTTTAATTTTGAACCGGTATAGGATTAAATTTGAATCTATTTCTGAAAGAGTGGGTTTACTAGATGTTTCTACTTTAATGGCAATACTATCATTGCAAATTTACTGATTGCATCAAACCATAAAACTTCAAATAAATTGTTTAAATTGTTTAAATTGTTTTACCTTCAATGATGGTTTAACTTCCGCATTTTCCCCATTGGTGTTTTCAAATCGGTAAACAGTTTCCCCAGGAGGCTTCTCGGGTCTAAACATTTTACAAATCATTTATAAAGGAACTGAGTTTTTGTCACAAACTCAAATTGTCTAATCCCTCTTTACAATCTTATGATGTAAAGCTTTGATATTCCAAACTTAGATTATTTGGTCTAACAAAATTCATATTTTGAAATATCAAAGTTCTACGACATTGGGTAGAAAAGATTTAGAGATTAGAAAAGTAGAGTTTGTGACAAAAACTCAGTTTCTTTGTAATCGTTTTGAAAGAGATAAGTATTTTATATCTCCTATCTAGAGATAGGCATGGTTTCGTTTACAAAGAAAAATTGCGGATGATATTTAAATGAATTGGATTTTAAAAACTATTTTTAAAACGAATGATTTACAGTTGTTAACGATCTTTTGCATTTTATTGATCAGTCAACCGTTGACAAAGGGTTTTTAATTAATTTGTTTGAATAAGTGGCTGATTCGAACGAACTATCGTTTTTACTGACCGAATGATTTTATTGAAAGAACGATTTTATTTAACGAACAATTTTTTTCAACAAAAGATTTTACTTAACAAACTAAACAATCGTTTAGTAAGAAAAGCAAAATAAATTGATGGAAAATTATCGATTATTTTGAAAACGAACAAATTAAAATCTTTACTGAACGTCTGGAAAAAGGAAACAAACGATGAACGAAGAAATTGTAAAAAAAATCCAAACACCCTTATCTCTATATCTACCTGAGCCATAGTATTGATAAAACAATGGCGTACTCAATGATAGCGCTGAATATGCTGAAGATACAAGTCATGATAAACTTGTCGATAGCGTTGAGTCTACTGCTAGCTGATGATGGGGCATTCGACCTAAACACAACACAAGTTGAGGTTTACAGTTTAATGCAAATTTTACGTTAGTTTAAATTAAGTTGATTCGTTTTTTTAGGGTCAAAATTTGGCAAAATGTAAGACATTTTTTTCAAAATTGCCTTTTTTACACTATACCAAATTTTGGCCCTAACAGAAAATATTTACATAAAAAGAACCAAAAACGATCTACATAAACAATAAAAACAATATAAACAAAATAAACAATCGCTTTTGGATCGTTTTTCATTTTGTTAAGATATAAATATTGCAAAGTTTATCAAAAGCAAACGTTAACAATACATTTGGAAAATCTTTTCAGTTTATTATTTTTCTTCTCCGATTCACAACTGTACCCTTAAAAGCATCGTCTGATCAAGTCGGAATTAGATCTCCATGTATTTGTCTTTGAAATTTGTAAATTTTTATTTGAGTTTTCTCTGAATTGCGCATTTCTTGTTTCACCTTTCAAGCAAGAAAAAAAAACGACGTTTCTTTTTCATTATTAATCAGATTAAGGTTAAGATGTTAAACTCAAATATAAAAGACTTACAATGACATAAATTTTAATATTATGTCATATTTAGTCGGACCAAGACTAAAACCAAGTCATAATAAATCTTGAAAACTGCATCCACCATTTTAACTTTGACTAATGGCATATTCCCGAAGGAGAAAAATTCACAAATTAGTTTTAAGAAAAATAAAAGCTTCCAATAATCACAATTGAAAAACTTTTATATTAATAAGATGACAATAGCTGATGGCGCCTAGGGAATTAAAAATTTTGAACTTCGTATTTTAAAACAATTTAGGATTTTTTTGTGAATATTAAAAGGGTTCAACTTATCTTTAAAGAACCAAACTACTAATAAGAAAAGAGTAAAACATTCAAAAAGTTGGAGTTAAACTAACCGAGGAAAAATAAGTTTAACTCATTTTAATTGACTTAAGCTTAAGCTCTGGGGGCAAAACTTTTGCATGGGACATCACTTAGATTAAGCCACTTAGTAAACTATATAATTCGAGGGGTTTAACGCCTAAATCAGGAAATGAATTGACTATCCATATGGAATCATTATTCTTCAAAGTTGTATTAAATAAAAATTAGCATTCATGAAAACTTGAAGTCTTTTGCTACAAAGCTAAATTTAAGCTTCAGTCCCAAAGTAAATTTTTAATTTAAAGAGTTTAACGCCTAAATCGGGAAATGAATTGACTGACTATCTTGTTGAATAAATATTAGCATCAATCAAAATTTTGAAATCTTTTGTTCCACTATAGTTTCAGTAGAAGTAATTATTTCCATTTACTGTTTAGCGCCGATTGAAGGATTCATATGATCATATCTCTAATTGGATAATGAGATAGATAGAAAGATAGATGTTACCGCCATACTATTTCTATTGGTTCAGAATAGACAACAAACACATGACTGAACCATGATCGGATCAGGCGCTAATGGACTCGGCATACAGGAGTGGTTCCTGATTTGAATTTCATTTCATATATAGTTTACTAAAGTTGCTCTTCAGGAACAATTATTATAAAATGTCTTTATTCAATAAATTATAAATAAAAATAAAATAAATTACCTGACATTGTTGAAAACATTGATGATAACCAGAAATAGAATACTTAGAAGAGACATTCGGCCAGGTACAACCTAATATTTATTTCATGTTTATACGTTCTTCAGTATAAGTCGTTTTTAATAATTTTCTCCTTATAGACGCAACAGATAGAAGTAAGATTAGTAGCTATCAAAAGCGATTATTTTTCGCCGTAAGCTTATACCCCCTTTCATTTTTCTTAAAACACTCCCTTTAGTTTACAATTTTCAGGTCCCAACAGGTGCTAAGTCGTCTGGAAATAAAAAATGTAGCCCCCCCTATTTGACAAGAGATGGCAATTGTTACTCTAAAAATATGGAAAATATAGTGTTTAACCCTATCCCTGCTGGGGTACTTGAAAACCAGGATACGCTGATTATTATACTTTAATATTCTCTCTACCCTTATTTTCCTTGCAAATTCAATCATGAAATCAAAATTAAAATATTCAAGAAGTTTGAAGGGTTATAATATATTATATATATATACCTTAGGATCGATAATAAAACTGATCCAGGATACTGTTACTGGAAAAAATGTAAACTGGACAAATTCTTGAATACGGGGCCCTGCATAATTTTATCAGGATTAGACAATAACACTTAGTGGCAAGTCCTCACATACATTTTGTGTGTTTATGTTAGGTCGGGTTTATGTATTTCTTGGAAGAAATATTTTGATAGACTGTTAACTAAACATCAAAAATCTTTTCTATGTTTTTATAAATGAATATTTTATAAATCAATTCCAGCAAATAAACAACTTCTAACTTGTTCAATAAAGTTTGCTGCATCAACAAACAGAAGAACAAAATTTAGTTTGATTCTGTAGAAATCTTTTATTAAATTAACTGTAGACGTAATTTCAAGTAATCATTAATTTATAGATTTTAAACTTTTGTATTATAAGAAATGAATGCAATATATCCGTGTGGGTTTTAGTGTGGTTTCATTAGGAAAGTGACAAGCGGATATATGTCGCAGAGACAATATAGTCTGAATTTAAGGAAATGTTCATTGTTCAAGATAAAACAACGACGATATCTTCCTCATTGCAAGTCAGATCAAGATATCAAGGGTACTGAAGGGCGTTTTTAATATTCAAAGTCTTTAGAAGATTCTTAGATGAAATCCTTTTTTTTTTTAAATTGTCGTTTCTAAAAACGACCTTTAATTAACCACCGTTAACGACGACCTTTCGTTATCGATCGTTAACGATCTTTTAAAGAGAAAATACATACTTTGGTCGGAAACCCTAGGTCAGAAAACATTCAGGTTATTTGTTTCGATAAAAAAAACATTTAAGACAACATTCATAACCTTATCTTTCTGAAAAAAATGAATTCAATTGTCAAAAAAAAAGATTGTTTCTAAAAACGAACCACTCGTTTTGAACTTTCAAAAAACAAAAGGATGATCGTTTTCAAAAACTATATTTTTTTAAAACTTTTTTCCAAAACGATAAGTTTTTTGTTTTTTTGAAAGTTTAAAACGAGTGGATCGTTTTCAAAAACAATTTTTTTTTTTAAAAACGAAACGATCGTTTTTGGAACAAAATGAAAACGAAACGAAAACGATCGTTTCTTCAATCGTTTCTAAAAACGATAAATAACTCTAATTAAATATATTCACTAAAACGATTAGTAAAATCGTTTTCCGTTTCCGTTTTGAAAAATCGTTTTAGTCCTTGATCAGAGTAAAAATGTTGCTTTGAGTAATAAAAGCATGAACTTGTCTGGCATGCAATTTTGAAATAGGATTCGCAACTCAGATTATTGGCATGCAATATTAATTAGAATTTTTATCTCAGATTCAGGTGAAGCTTATAAAAAGCCTTAAAACTTTTAAAGGGACATACCGGCTATTGTAACCATCCCCAACTTCCTCCCCCCCCCTTTCCATCCCTTGTACAGATCTAACGGATTTATTCGTGTTTGTGTGTGAATTCTATATATAACCCAAGCCACGCCAATAGTTCCGTTATTCCAGAGGCCCGGGTGCTGGTGGGACGGCCGGCCAGCTCCCGGGGAACTAGGGTTAAAGCTCTAGCCTAGGGTGGAGTGAAATCTGGGGAAGATAGTCAGTTGTGCGCCAGCTCTCACAAGGAGAGGATGAAGACATTCGCCAACTCCCCACAGTGGTAAGAAGCAGTCAGTCCAATGGAACAGAAACTGCTTGGACAGATGGGAACTGTGGGAAAACAACATGCTGAAGGAGATTTGTTACCCGAACAAAGATGGTGCCAGAAGAGATATGTTGCCTGAGGGGATAATTGACCTGAGGGGATAATTGACCTGAGGAGATATGTTGCCTGAGGAGATATGCAGCCCTGAGGAGATACCATGTTGAATGTATCTAGCCAAGGAGTATCTAGCCAAAGGAGGTATCTTGCCAAAGGAGTATCCAGCCAAGGAGTATCCGGCCAAAGGAGTAACCCATCACTGAGTGCCAAATCTGTGTCTGTTGACTTTAGTTATTTATTCCTTCATTTTGTTTCTCTTTAATATAAATGTTCAACTACTTTGTTCTATTATTGGTGTGTGACTTGAAGACTACTAGAGCATTGTTACCCGCCTTTCAAATATAACACTATGTATAGTAGTTGATCTGAGTCGTTATTTAATAATTAAAAAAAAAACTAATTCTGAAAACGTATCCACCCCTCAAAGTACCAAAGTAGGAGTTTTGAACGTTGAATTTGCACTCAAAATCAGGATTTCCAGATCTTTAAAAAGTTTTATATGTTTCAAATGAATCCTAAAGAAGCTTTCCACAACACTGCATACTCAGTTCAACTACCTTACATAGCCGGTCACTCCCTTTAATGTTTGAAAACGGGCCTCAAAACGATGCCTTCAGTGAATTCAAAGGTACCGTGGTAAATCGAACATGCCATGCTTTATAAATAAATAATCACTTAAAACTACGTCTATATACACTTTCACTAAAAGCTAATATATCTTCGGTCAGTGTACTGCAAATTAGTGCAGACCCTTTAAACTAAAGCTTTACACTGCAGGGAAATATAAAAAGAATTTTTTAATTATTATACTTTAATATTCTCTCTACCCTTATTTTCCTTGCAAATTCAATCATGAAATCAAAATTAAAATATTCAAGAAGTTTGAAGAGTTATAATATATTATATATATATACCTTAGGATCGATAATAAAACTGATCCAGGATACTGTTACAAAGAGTACACAGGGAATGTAAACCTAAAATCAAAAAAGTTATAGTTTTTAACAATGTTTTTATAATGTATTTTTTATAATTTTTGAAAAATAAAAAGGTAAGAGGCATAGTTAATTATTTCAAATGTTCATCTTTTTTTCTCCTTTCTCCATCTGCACCTCCGCAGTTTCTATTTTTTTATGGCGTTGCTTTTAAAAGAATTTTAAATGAATGTTTAGAAAACAGTTATATAATAATGTCATTACTGTTTACTGATTTGTTTTGAAAATGCGTATATTAACCAAAGAGTCTTTGGAACAAAATCAAATATTTAAACCACAATTTCTTTAGAACTCGATGTTGTAAACCTTTGATATTTCAAACTTAGATTACTTGATCTAACAGAATTCATAGTTTGAAATATCTAAGGTATGCAACATTTGGTTCCAAAGATATAGTGATTAGAAAATCAGAGTTTGTTGCAAAGACTCAATTCCTTTAGGGAAATTTCTACTCTACAATACTTTAAAAGGTCACAATTTTTGTCAAAATAAAAATATCTTTGAATTTTCATAAAAATGGTCGCTTCTGTTTAAACGAAAAGACGATTAAATAAATTAATAAAAAAAAAGATTATTTTGACAGAAATCAACCGATCAATTTTCACCATCCTACCCATGGGCACATCTCTGATCGACAAAATTTTAGAAAATTGAAGTAGTAGAGTATTTGTATTTAAAAAAATATTTTTTCTTAAGTTAAGCATAATTTTTTTAAACAAAAAGACAAATAAATGTTGGATGACTTTAATTTTAAAAATAAATTTTTTTAACATTAAAAAATCTTAAATTTATATTTTTGTTGAAAATTTGTTCAAAATATTTTTCTACCTGGTACATCAAGGGTTCATGCTTGCGCACCAACTTTATCTCAAATCCACAAGCAGCATAGTTACCTGACAGAACAAAAAAAATTTTCAAATTTTTTCAAAAAACGTTTACTTTATAAAGTTTAAGGTATTGAGTATCTGCCACAAACTCAAAACTTTCTAATCCTTATATCTTTGCGACTTGTTGATGTAAACCTTTGACGTTTCACACCTAGAGTATTTGATATAACAGAATTCATATTTTGAAATATCTAAGATCTACGACATTAGATTGCAAAGATATAGGGATTAACAAACTGATTTTGTGGCAAAGACTCAATTTATTTACAAACGTAAGCTGTAAGAAATCCTTTTTCATACAAAGGTACAAAGTCAAACTGGAAAATCATTATCTAGCCATTAAGTTAAAACTGTTAAAGATAATAATTATTCTTTAATAATAAGAACTCAATCTAAAAGAAAAAACTGAAAAAAGATGTTGAATGAATAACAAAGTTTAAAAATATTTTTCCGTCTTGTTTTCAACTGGATAGAATTAGACAATAGTCTCTATTTTTCTTTTGATTTAAAATTCATAATTTTCCTTAACTCTTAGATTTTACAGAATGAAAATAATCATATTTATTCAATATATTTCTTCTTTAGAATTAAACCTATTTTTTACAATAAATTGAATGCTTAGTGTATAGAAATAGATAATTTACTAAAAACTGATCACTTGATATAACCCCAAATTTACAAATACTTATATCTTTGCGATCTGATCTTTCGAACTTTGACAATTTGATCTAAGAAATATTTTTTTAATTTATGAAATTGGATTGTGAAGGTTTAAGAGTTTAAAAGTATAAATAAAGTTATCAGACTATATGTTAAAACTTTTATCATTTGTTTATTAGCATAATTGCATTTCATATAAATGATGAAATACAAAGTTAGTGCAGTCCAACAATGTATCTTGTACTGTACTGTACTGCAGTCCAACAATATATCTTTTGAATGAAATTAATAATATTATAAAGTGCGAACAAGTTTTTGCCGGGATTTTTACTTTTTCTAGTTTGTTTATAGTTTGTTTCTAGTTTGTTTCTAGTTTGTTTCTAGTTTGTTTCTAGTTTGTTTCTAGTTGTTTATAGTTTGTTCTTGTTTGATTCTTGTTTGTTTGAGAAAATTTTGATCGAAAACAAGAGAAATTCAAGGTAAAAGAAGACTGTTGTCTTTAGAAGAACACTTTTTATAAAAATTTAATAAAAAACTCAGGAGTACCAAGTTTTTCTACTTTTTTCATGCAAAAAAAAACCTACAAAAACAATTTAGAAGTTCACTTGGGGACTTAACATGAACACATTTATTTTTTAATCTAATTAGTTTTCATCAGCTTAATTTCATATTTGTAATATGATTGCATGTACATTAATCTAAGGTTCTTGGTTCCCCCGGAAGACTGGAAAAGTTAGTGCTGCAGACGTCCTGGACCTCTATCTCAGGCGAGTCAAGGATGATTTGGGGTTACACTGGTCACCTTTTGTTGACAGGAAATGGGATATTATTCACCAAAACTCCCTGTGAAAGAATATGGTCGAAAAGTGCCTTCTGTTATGGCTACAGATCTCCATATTGATGAACCAAAAAATTATACATTTCATAGCTGCAGGATGCCGGCTGCTACCGGTGTAGTAGATGCCAGAGCTACATCTGACCAAATGCAAGACTTTTTTGATTGGGCAAATGCCAAAATTAGCACGGAATATATATTCAGCAGCCAAGCAGCCATTACCAAGGTCGCCCAGAAGCTCCAGGATACTGAGACCACAACCTTGTCCATGTGAATATTGCTAAGGAAGATTCAAGGAGAGTTCAAAGCTTGCCAATGAGAGTGCAGAGGTCGCCCAAGAGAGTCAAGTTAGCGGTTTTGGTGAACTCTAGGATGATTGGAACCCAACTGAAGAGGAGGTGAGCGAAGCAACCTCATTATCAGGTTCATATCACTATAGTTTCAGTAGAAGTAAATATTTCCATTTTGTGTATCGCGCCGATTCAAGAATTTATCTCTAATTGGATAATGAGAATGAGAGAGATAGAAATATAGATGTTACCGCCATGCAATTTCTGTTGGTTCAGAAAAGACACCAAACACATGGCTGAATCCTGGTTGGATCAGGCACTAATGGACATGGCATACAAGAGTGCTATGTAGATAGAGTCTGGAGCTGAAGTTTTCTACATAAATAAAATTGAAAACTTCAATTGCTAAATGTAAACCATGCTTTTTTTCTGTCAATACACAATAAACTTTTTTAATTAAATTTTAATAGCAGGGTGATAAAGTTACTTTTCGCCCTGTAAAATATCAGTTGTGATAAATTCTCTCAAAGTCTAAAAGATTTATTTTAAGATTATGGATTTTTTACTTAATATTCACCAGGTTTTGACAGTCGGTAAATTGGTTTTTGACAGATTTTCATTTTTGAAGAAAAAATAAATATGCCATCAATATTATTATTGTATAACACGCAGAAAATTGGTTACATATAACCTAACCTCTTATAAGAGGAAAAATGTTTTTTATCCATTTATTTTGTAATTTGTAGATTATTCGTTTGATATTCTCAACTATTTTAGGGCCCGCTACAGCTGAAGTACCTAGTGTTGCCCGTGGAATTTTAAGAAAACTTTGAGAAAAAAAAACTAATTTTGAAAAAAAAACTTTTTTAGCCTAAGTTACCCCCTGGATACTCAAGGTTCCCTCAACAAATTTTAGCCAATTTGGTTCTGACGTTTGGCCAGCTATAATATATATATAAGCAAATAGCTTTATTGAAAACAAAGATGAACCACAAGATATTTGTTTACAGAAAGTGTACCGCATGCACTTGGCCACAAAAGCAGTTTAACTTCTCCAAAAACTTTAGTATCCCTTTTTGCAGTAAAGATATTTTATATTGTTTATACTTTAAAAATATGAAAATGAAGTCTACGGAAAATATTATATCAATTTTGCACACAGCAGGGGTTTAATTAAAAAAGATAAATATTATTGTAAAAAAACAAATAGAAAATATAGAACAAATATAAGAATGCAAATTATTGATGCAGAATAATAGTAGGGTTATGAATACCTGAAGTGAGCCGAACTTCAGATTTTTCTGCTGAAAGATTTCTGAATTCAACTAAATAGAAAATTAATTAAAATGGATTGAGTTTTTTTAAGAAGAAGAATCAATTGGCAGCCGAAACATTAATTAACCTAATGTATACGACGGATAATTGAAATTTTAGACGATTTAAGGCACTATAAACTAGACAACAGGTGAAGGTTGAATTTAAGCGACATTGCTGGTGCGACTAGCTCCTCAAAAAGATTGTTATGATTGTTAACATTTAGGAATTTAATCTTACAAACGATTTACTTTAGTTTGGCGTGAAGGGATTATGGCTTTAGTAAAAGAAGCATTTAATCATTTGCTCGCCATGGGATTAACACAATCCATTGAACTACAAGTAGACGGGATTAAAAGTTTCAACCTCCTTTAATCCCCAAATGATCTACCTGAATGTTGAAGGTTTCTCTCTAGAAAATCTGATTCTCTGGTTGGATCAAAGTACTCTGATGTGCAAGTCACCGAATTCTTGTCATAAAAATCTTAAAAAGGGACATCTAATGTTTTAATAAATTAATTGTAATAAAAAGTCTGCGTAAAAATTACTAGGAAAAAAATATTTTCTCAGATAAAGATGGGCGTGTTAGATTTTTAAAAAAAATTTGTGTGTTTATTATTCGTTAACGACCCATTTATAGTTAGTTGCTTTTTCAATCGTTCTGTAAAACATTGAATTTGTTCGTTTTCAGAATTATCGTTTATTTTCCTTCTACTTACTTAGTTTTAAAACTAAATGATCATTCAATAAAATCGTTTATTTAGTGAGATCTTTCGTTCAGTAAAATCATTCGTTCAATACAATATTTTTTTCTTCAAAAGTACTAAGGAAAGTTTGGTAGAAAATACTGCAGTAACAAACCAATTTAGAAATCCTTTGTTAATAGTCTAATGCGTGTTTAACGGTTAAAAAAATGCGATCAATCATTCTCAATTTTGAATCTTTAATTTTTGTGTGTTTAGAAAATACGGCCGGTTTTTATTTCTATTTGAGCGATCCAATTTGTTCGTCAATCGTTTGTAAATTTTTCTTAACAACACCATCCTTCACAAAAAAAATCGCTTGTCCTCTAAAACAACGCCCATCTCTATTCTCAGAAAATGTGAAATAATTAAATAATAATAAATAGTTTCCGACTAAAAAATATACTGTAATTAAATATTTAATTGAAAAGTTTATGACATTTTTTAAAAACTATTTAATAGAGATACTATTTAATTAATACTTACAGCTTCCAACTTGAAAAGTGCAGAGATGAGAGTCAAATGGATATTGACTGAAATCCATTTGACAAGAGATGGCAATTGTTACTCTAAAAATATGGAAAATATAGTGTTTAACCCTATCCCTGCTGGGGTACTTGAAAACCAGGATACGCTGATTATTATACTTTAATATTCTCTCTACCCTTATTTTCCTTGCAAATTCAATCATGAAATCAAAATTAAAATATTCAAGAAGTTTGAAGGGTTATAATATATTATATATATATACCTTAGGATCGATAATAAAACTGATCCAGGATACTGTTACTGGAAAAAATGTAAACTGGACAAATTCTTGAATACGGGGCCCTGCATAATTTTATCAGGATTAGACAATAACACTTAGTGGCAAGTCCTCACATACATTTTGTGTGTTTATGTTAGGTCGGGTTTATGTATTTCTTGGAAGAAATATTTTGATAGACTGTTAACTAAACATCAAAAATCTTTTCTATGTTTTTATAAATGAATATTTTATAAATCAATTCCAGCAAATAAACAACTTCTAACTTGTTCAATAAAGTTTGCTGCATCAACAAACAGAAGAACAAAATTTAGTTTGATTCTGTAGAAATCTTTTATTAAATTAACTGTAGACGTAATTTCAAGTAATCATTAATTTATAGATTTTAAACTTTTGTATTATAAGAAATGAATGCAATATATCCGTGTGGGTTTTAGTGTGGTTTCATTAGGAAAGTGACAAGCGGATATATGTCGCAGAGACAATATAGTCTGAATTTAAGGAAATGTTCATTGTTCAAGATAAAACAACGACGATATCTTCCTCATTGCAAGTCAGATCAAGATATCAAGGGTACTGAAGGGCGTTTTTAATATTCAAAGTCTTTAGAAGATTCTTAGATGAAATCCTTTTTTTTTTTAAATTGTCGTTTCTAAAAACGACCTTTAATTAACCACCGTTAACGACGACCTTTCGTTATCGATCGTTAACGATCTTTTAAAGAGAAAATACATACTTTGGTCGGAAACCCTAGGTCAGAAAACATTCAGGTTATTTGTTTCGATAAAAAAAACATTTAAGACAACATTCATAACCTTATCTTTCTGAAAAAAATGAATTCAATTGTCAAAAAAAAAGATTGTTTCTAAAAACGAACCACTCGTTTTGAACTTTCAAAAAACAAAAGGATGATCGTTTTCAAAAACTATATTTTTTTAAAACTTTTTTCCAAAACGATAAGTTTTTTGTTTTTTTGAAAGTTTAAAACGAGTGGATCGTTTTCAAAAACAATTTTTTTTTTTAAAAACGAAACGATCGTTTTTGGAACAAAATGAAAACGAAACGAAAACGATCGTTTCTTCAATCGTTTCTAAAAACGATAAATAACTCTAATTAAATATATTCACTAAAACGATTAGTAAAATCGTTTTCCGTTTCCGTTTTGAAAAATCGTTTTAGTCCTTGATCAGAGTAAAAATGTTGCTTTGAGTAATAAAAGCATGAACTTGTCTGGCATGCAATTTTGAAATAGGATTCGCAACTCAGATTATTGGCATGCAATATTAATTAGAATTTTTATCTCAGATTCAGGTGAAGCTTATAAAAAGCCTTAAAACTTTTAAAGGGACATACCGGCTATTGTAACCATCCCCAACTTCCTCCCCCCCCCTTTCCATCCCTTGTACAGATCTAACGGATTTATTCGTGTTTGTGTGTGAATTCTATATATAACCCTTTTTTTAACTGATATTTCTTAGTCCAAAAATTTCTGAGTAAATTAAAATAGATATCTAATTTCAAATATATTTACAATAAACAAAATAAATATCTAATTTCAAATATATTTACAATAAACAAAAGAAATATCTAATTCCATATATATTTACAATAAACAAAATAAATATCTAATTCATAATATATCTAAAATAAACAAAATAAATAAAAGTCTTTCATGGACCGAAGACTTAATTTTTCAATGAGCCCAAATTTCAGTTTTCTTTCTTAAGAAATGATGTTTTTTTTTAACAATTTACTACATTTTCAAAGATAATCATTATAAATTTCGTCGACAAACCCTTTAATAAAGCAAAATAATTGTTTAACAAACTCTAAATAACATTAAAATCGAAAACTGTGTTCACTTCAAACTCAAAATGAACGCAAGGAGTATGAAATACATGCTTTGCAGACGGTACTCTATTTATATAAACAAATTTAGAATAGGTTATTGTATACGCCGTAATTGTTACAACAGTTAAATATTTCTTATACAAATGGAGTACCGTCTGCAAAGCATGTATAATCATATGGTAGTGCGAGCCGCGTCAGTTGTTTCTCCTTTTCTATTTCATACTCCTTGAATGAACGACATTCCGACCTCGTATAGGCCTCAAACTATTTTGTTCATGCAAAAAGTTGTAAATATAATTTATTAGTTTGTTCAGCAAACATTGGAATTATGTTATTTATACAAAATAACCATAAATAGTATTAAACTGTTCCATGTTAATTATAATATTCTCATTTGCAATAAATAATAAATACTTAAAACCTACAGGGAAATCCCAAAAAAATTAGACCTGACCCAAAACGTTCTAAACATCTTGATCTTGAATTTAATCTCAGTTTTCCAAATAAATAAACTATATAAACCTCAGGCTAATTTAAATTTGTACAATGCATATCTAACTATCTACTCCTTGAAGCTAACATTAGATATTAGTCTTTTAAATGGACTGTAAGCGTAATTTTATGTGTCCTTCCATGTTTAGAAGGCAAGGCCCGATTCACAACGGCACCCTTGAAACCTTAATCTGATAAAAAATATGGAAAACATTGTCGTTTGCTGAATTGAAAAGTTTTTATTTCTACACCACTTCTTGTAAGCAAGAAATGCGCAAGTCAGTTTCGCAGAGAAACCGCAATTGCAAATAAACAGTTTTAATTGATATTTAATTCATAATTGATAGACAAAGCTTATAAGATGATACCGTTGAAAATAGGGCAGTGACGTATTTGGGGGGTCCCTTGAAATTACGCTCACAGTCCCTTTAATGATAAAATGATTTATTATAAAAGACACAGGTGCATGCGATACTTACTTTATATCATATTTCACTTCTTTCCCCATCGTTATTCTATGCAAGTTGTAATTAATAATTTAGGTTTTATAAAAGAAAAAGACCTGAATATTTGTATATATTTGTATATATTGTTTCTATTCAAGAATATGTATTCATTTCCTGTAATTAATTATTTCTACTAAATTTTCATTAGTTTTTATTCTTAAATGGAATGTTTTATCCTGCGGTTTTCGCAAACTATGTGCGGAATTGCGCACTATTTTCTGAACGATAATTTTAGCGCAAATACAGTAAAAGTTGCGCGTCATGATTTTTGAATTCCGACTAAATGCTCAGCTTAAACGTTTAAACGGTTAAGATTAGACGATAAAGAAAAACGCTTGAAAAGAAAGGAAATGCCTCCCTCCTTCCTTCTCTTTTTTCTCCCTATTTGTATTCTCAACCTTTGGGTCTAAATACGCCTAATCAAGAAATATGGAATTACCAAATTTTTCCAACTTCAGAATAATTTTTCAAATTTTTACTCTCTATAGAATATATAATTAGCATTGCATACCCCCCCCCCCTCCACCCATAAAATAAATATGAATGGTTCGCAAATATCCTCTGAGGTTGGGCATGGCTCGAAGATATGTGTCCACCCTTGGATAAAGATTGGCATTGTTTTTGTGAATGAACGAAATGTTTGAGAACGAACAGAATTTATGGTGAATGATGGTGTTTTCAGAAAAAAAAACGAACATGTTTTGTCTTTAATCAGAAAAGTCGGTAGTTTTTTTAAACAACGAACGAAAACAACGATTGTTTTTTCTGAACGAACAAATTTTTACAACAAACTTTTAAAAAACTATTGTTTTTATATTGAACGAAAAATTTTACTGAAAAATGAACGAAATAGATATTAATTGAACAAACTTTTTGAGAATGAAAATAAATAAATTTTTTTAAATGATTAAAAAAACGAACGGAATTGTTCATTCACGAACAATGAACAAACAAAATGGAGAAAAGTAGAAAGCGCTCATCTCTTCCCTGTGAAATATAGAAAGGGCCCTGGGGTAATAAAATCACAATTTGAAGACACAAATTTGACTGGAATACACAAGATATTATGGTTGATAATAAAAACAAATTCTAAGCCACAATTAGAGAAAATTTCAATTTCAAAACACTTGTGATAAATTTTTAGAATTTGCATATCCCTGAGTCCTGCCATTTCTCCCAGAATCTTGTGATTGCTAAAATCTTCTAAACCGTAGATCTCCAGGTTTGGTCTCCATAGATGCTTTAGAGTCTAAATATTATTTAAATAAATATATTGCTAGAATCTTCTAAACAGTAGATCTCCAGGTTTGGTCGCCATAGATGCTTTAGAGTCTAAATATTATATAAATAAATATATTGCTAAAATCTTCTAAACCGTAGATCTCCAGGTTTGGTCTCCATAGATGCTTTAGAGTCTAAATATTATGTAAATAAATATATTTGTTAAGCCAAAAAAGGCCTAGTGGTTTATCAAAGGTTGACTTCCCTAGGGAGATTAATTTTCTTAAGTTATGGTCCCTAGGGCGTCTATATTTATCAGGTTAGTTCCCCCACTTTCCGCTACTAATCCATAATCCACTAACCCTAAAAATAAGTACATTTGAAAAATAAATCGTTGATATTTAATTGTAAACAATGTTTGATTTTTAAAAAGTTCTTACAATTTGCTGGTAGAAGCAGAAAATGAACCCATAAGGATCTGAATAAAACGTTTTGTGACAACTGAAAATAAATACCCGGTTGGTTACAAAGATTTTGTTGTTTGTAGCAATAATGACGAATTTAAGCATTTAATATATTAAACATGTATTACTTTTTTACGGAGTTGCGTCTATTTGCCGGAGAAATATTGGGTTTGGTTCCGGGGTTATGATTTGGTTTGAGAAGACATTTTACAAAGGAAGGTTGTAAGGTTTTTGGTCAACAATATTGCTAGAATCTTCTAAACCGTAGATTTCTAGGTTTGGTCGCCATAGATGCTTTAGAGTGTAAATAGTATATAGATAAATATATTGCTAAAATCTTCTAAACCCTAGATCTCTAGGTTTGGTCACCATAGATGCTTTATATTCAAAATATACTTTGAAAAACCAGAAATTAACGAGCAATTTTCAAATTATTTTTTGTTTGTTAACAATAACAAATCTACTAATAAGCTATTTTCCTTTTTTGAAAAAAGAATTTCTGTTTAAACAAAAAAATTCTTTTTTAATTTTTAGAATTATCTTAAAAATTAAATACAATAAACGGAAAGATGTGTATTTAAACATTTTTATTTTTTTTATTGGAAATATTACCTCAGCTTCCTCGGTATTTTCTCCACTAGGACCTGAACAAGCAAAACATTATTCAAGAAAAAAAAGCATTTTTGAGTTCAGACTGATTCATGAAAGTGTCGCCAGACCCTTATTTTGACCTAGATTTTTATGTTGGAATTTTTTTATTTTAGAAAAAGAATAAAAAATGATAACAAAACAAAAAAATTAAAAGTGTAGAAACTCCACCTGTTGAATTATCAAGCCAACTTCTATGGTTTGGATCAACGATCAATCTATGCTCCTAAAAAATATTTTTTAGAATATTCTATTACATCATTTATGATGTGCTTCGCGCCTCATTTATCTAGGAAAGGAAAGTTTATATGCATAAAGAGAATTTTAATATTGCATTTTTAAATCAAAAGTCACTAAAACGTACGTTGGATATAAGTAATAAACTTACAAAATATATTGGCTTTCACAAAATGTTTTAAACATGAACTTTATAAATCTTTTATATTCGATATTACTTTTTTTCGAAATTATATATTTTTTATATTCAATGCTTACATTCCATTTGACTGTAAAGTACATTGGTATTTTAAGAACCTGATCCGAATCCTTAACCTCGCTAAATACAAACAAACTATGTAATTATAAGAATATGAAGGAATTGAACCTTTGCCACAAACTCATAATTTTAGAATCCCTATATCTCGTATTAAAAATCTTTTATTTTTCAAACTTAGATTATTTTATTTAACAAAATTGATTGTTTAACATCTCTAGAGGTTACGGCAAGTAAAGATATAGGGATTAGAAAATCAGAGTTAGTGGCAAAGACTCAATTCCTTTAATCATTGTAGTAATGTTGCGTAAATTAAAGTGGTTAAAAGAATTATCGATGTTTTCCTGTCTGAAATCTTTTTATAACATATTAATTTCTGGCAATTTCTGTTTTTGAATCCACTACGTAAAATGTATGTTACTTGTACACAAAACCACATTAATCAGTTTTTCAGAAAGAAAAAAAAACGATGTCAATTTCGTTTTTGATTTGAAGACGGTTTAAAGGACATCGTTGTGAATCTGACATACTTGAAATTATGTCTACAGTCCCATTAAGCCTTTTATTTACTGTACAAAATGTAAGCAAACTCTATAGTTAGATGTATTGCAATAAATGTAAACAACCCATCATACTAGAATGTATTGAAAATAAAATAAATTGCTTTTCTATTTTATAAAATTATATAAAAATGATTTAAAACTGCTTTGATCACATAAATTCAAAATATTGAACTTTTAAAACAATTTCGTTCTTTGAAAAAATTGGATTGTAGATTGAAAGAAAACAACTTTAGGAGATTTAACACACCAGGGTATAAGCTTATCTGGGGTTTATAAAGCTTCTATTATACTTTCAAGAAATGTATACTGAAGGTAGGGGTAATAGTATTAGTGTACATATTTATCAGAATTGTATATGGGACGGTAAATTGGGGTTCCTGGTTTAAAATTTAAATTCTGTGAGCATCAACTTTGGAACCTATTTTTAGCCGTTAAATGAAGATCTTTGTATTTGCAATTTCTTACTTTTTTGATCAAATATCAAAGTGCACAAATTCTTTTTCCTGCCGTTTTCTACGAATTTTCAGCAGAGATCATAATATGACTGAAATACTTGTCCATGCGTTGTACTTCGTTGTAGTTAGTTTTTTAGTATTTATCTGTTAGTTCTAGTGTCGAAACAATTTTAAAATTGTAAATAAACAAAGTCCTGAAATGTTCTGTGCATAATAGAACGGCCATGGGCTTCTTTACAAATTCAGTTTTATATTTAACCTTAAACCAGTACACAGTAAAATGTACAAAAACGCAATCCCCCCATTTTTAGTAAAATTATATTTTTTATTAAGAATTGCTATTCTTAATTTTTACAAAAAAATATGTTTCTTCAAAACATATGAAAATTCTTTAAATAAAAATCAATTTGTGCAATATAATTGTTCAATTTACTTAATGCCATGTTTATTTTGATTTTTTGTTTGTTAGTTTATTGTTTGTTTGTTTATTGTTTGTTAGTTTATTGTTTGTTTGTTTATTGTTTGTTAGTTTATTGTTTGTTTGTTTATATTCCTGATTTCTCTGATGGAAAAAGTGAAGTGTAGATTCATGTGTTGTTCTCCGGGAGGTTTATCTACAATAAATAATAAATATATTTTTGTCTTCATAATTTAAATTTTACATATAAAATCGATTTTTATAAAATTTTATTTGGCTGGCTCATTATTTACCAAACTTCTCTTTATAATGTTTTGAGTTGCAGTACTGCATGGTATTATAACGTTCAGGGTTCGCTTTACTTTATTTTATCCAAATAAACACTGAACAGGGTTCGCTCAACAACTTTGTTTTAACAATTTCAAAGTAAAAAATATTAAATTCTAAGAAAATATGATTTAATCTATATATAATATATATAAAGATTAACTTATATGAATGCTTTCATTCAAGGTTTGATGACGGAATGGTTAGTGTGTTTGACTCGGAACCTTAGGGTTGACAGATCAAACCCCTTAAACTACGATTTGAAGAAAAGGGCCATACTGATGAGCCCTAACAAGGCGAAACAATGTGTTTACGGATATGCATGCCATAAAAAGGAGTTGAGTTTTTGCCAAAAACTCTGATTTTCTAATCTTCTTATCTTTGTAACCCAATGCCGTAGATCTGAGATATTTCAAACTATTAATACTTATAGATAAAATAATCCAAGTTTGAAATATCAAAGGTTTGCACCATAAGGTTGCAAATATATTGGAATCAGAAGATTTTAGTTTGTGACAAAAACTCAGTTCCTATTATATATTTTCAATTATTTATTTTCTTTAAATCAGACTAATTGTAAGCAAAATGGCACAAATTCTAGTTTTAAAAAAAAAATCACTGCACAACTAAATATATTTACTAAAAATGGTGCAAAGCATATCCATAAAAATAGTTCCTCTTTATAGGGAAAATTATGTGACTTTAACTCATAACAGCCACAGAGTAGTTTTAGGAATTCTGAAACTTTTTTATTTCTTATTTTTCTGTAGAAAACTAGTGCTTTAGGTTAATTAGAAGAATGCACAGTGTAATCATTTAAACAGAAAAAATGTGTTTTTTCTATAAAACATGTTTTCAGCTATTTTATATTATTTTAAACACCAATCAGAACTTTTACCATCTTTATTGTTTGCACCGAAAAAATTGTTGCTAAAGGAATTGAGTCTTTGCCACAAACTTATATTTTATAATCCTTATATCTTTGCAGTCAGATGGTGCAAACATTTTCACACTTAGATTATTTTATTATATTAAATTCGAGGACATTGGGTTACAAAGATATAATGATTAAAAAATCTGAATTTGTGGCAAAAATTCAATTCCCTTGTTCTTAATAAAGCAATCGGAAGAATGAAGATGTGTGAGAGCATGCTTTAGGGAAAAAACACCAGTTTATGATATAAGTACTTACATAAAAAGGGTGGTTTTTGAATTTCGTAATTCTTCGGAATACACCAGGCCATTGTATCCTTGGTATTCTTGTATTTCTAAACAAACAAGTACTGTAAACACGGTAACAGGACAGTACATTATATACTTATAGACCAGACACGGTATAAGGGACAGTATCAGTATACTTACAGACTAGAAAAAACAGGACAGTACAGTACAATTACAGACTATAGATACGGTAAACAGGACAGTACAGTATACAATTACAGACTAGATATGGTAAACAGGACAGTACAGTACAATTACAGACTAGATATGGTAAACAGGACAGTACAGTATACAATTACAGACTAGATATGGTAAACAGAACAGTACAGTATACAATTACAGACTAGATATGGTAAACAGGACAGTACAGTATACAATTACAGTTTAGATAAGGTAAACAGGACAGTACAGTATATAATTACAGATTAGATAAGGTAAACAGGACAGTACAGTATACAATTACAGACTAGATATGGTAAACAGAACAGTGCAATATACAATTACAGATTAGATGTGGAAAACAGGACAGTACAGTATACAATTACAGATTAGATAAGGTAAACAGGACAGTACAGTACACAATTACAGACTAGATATGGTAAACAGAACAGTACAGTATACAATTACAGGCTAGATACGGTAAACAGGACAGTACAGTATACAATTACAGACAATATATACGATAAACTGGACATTATGGTATACAATTACAGGCTATAGATACGGTAAACAGGACAGTACAGTATACAATTACAGACTAGATACAGTAAACAGGACAGTACAGTATACAGTTACAGACTATAGATACGGTAAACAGAACAGTACAGTATACAATTACAGACTATATCTATATATAAATTTGGCTTGTCTGTCTGTCTGTTTGTTTGTCTGTCTGTCTGTTTGTATCCAATAAACGTCAAAACGGCTGAACCGTGGTAAACAGGACAGTACAGTATACAATTACAGACTAAATATGGTAAACAGGACAGTACAGTATACAATTACAGACTAGATACGTTAAACAGGACAGTACAGTATACAATTACAGACTAGATACGGTAAACAGGACAGTACTGTATACAACTACAGACTAGATACGGTAAACAGGACAGTACGCCAATTGATAAATCCCTTTCTATGGAAATTAATGAGTTTATTAATTAGTGTTATTTTACTTAGTGTAAACGATTCTTTTAACAATTTATACAAGGAAAGTGAAACATAATGTTTTCAGATAATTACACTTGAATTAATTCCTCTAATTATTTATAATTTTGTGTAAGGGTATAATTATCAACTCAGTTTTCTTTTCCTCATCGCACGAAACAAAGTTTTTTTTTACATAATCTTAAACATGAATTCTCACGTAAAGGAATTGAGTTTTTGCCACAAACTTAAACCTTCTGATCCCAATATATTTGCAACCTCATGGTGCAAGCCTTTGATATTTCAAACTTAGATTATTTTATCTATAAGTGTTAATAGTTTGAAATATCTAAGGTCTACGACATTGGGTTACAAAGATATAGAGATTAGAAAATCAGAGTTTGTGGCAAAAACTCAACTCCTTTTAGTTAAATAATTAATAAAAAAAATTTAGAGGGTTAATCAAAATAAAATAAAACGGTTTATTGAATGGTAACTTCGTGGATTTTAAGTTTAACATTTTTGTTTGATCCCTGGTTTGAATATAAAATATATGATCAATTTGTTCTATGTTATAGCTATGAAAGATGTATATTA